ACACTAAGCTGAACAACCAATCAGAGTTCTCTCTTTCATCGACATGTTGAATCGGCCAAAAAAAGCCGACGAGGACCAATTTCAGCCGACGGTGCGGATCACACTGAGAAAAGTCGTCCGACGCACAAAAACTGCCAGACGGCCAACCGTCGGCTTGGTGTGTTCCAGGCTTATTTACAGAGATAGATTGATCCTTTACATCGAACTTATCTGAGCAGATCATTACAAACAATTGTCCATGGATGAAAAGGGGAAGAAAAGAAAAGAAAAGGTGGAGCTGAAAAGTTACGCGTTAAAAAAAGCATTAAAGGTAGATGCTGTGAAATGTAGCAGTTCAACAGGCTCTGATGGCTCTAGCTCCCCCTGACTAGCTGATATAATGCCTTTATAGTTTTATATTAATAATGTTGTTGTAACGTCACGCCAGCAGAGGGAGCCCTCTCCCGAGTTCTGACTGTGTTCCTCGCCCTCTGCTTCACTGGTTACTTCCTGTTTGTATGACTTTAAAGCATGGCCTGGTTAGTAGGTCATTGCGAAGTAATGCCAGTCTACCTGTGCTACCGAGCGTTATCTTGTCTTTGTCATGTTTATCTTGTGTACGACCCTTGCCAGCTTTATACTGTTTACGCCTCTTGGATTATCCCTTTGTACCATTGTTTGGATTGGACTGCCTTTTTGTGAGTTACCTCAGCCTGTTTCAAGTTTATGCTATCTGCCTACCGATTCTGATCTGTTTTCTATGGATTCAAATAAACATCTGCATATGGAGTCTGCCTCAGCGTCCGCTTCGTCACAGTTGTGTGTCTTAATGTTCTTCTGTTTGTTTCCCATTGGTTTTACAGATATGAGCTAATATATGTTGTGTTACTTAAAATAAATGTTTAAATACCATTTATTTTTGTATTGTGTTATATTTTTATGCTGTAAGTGGTGTTAAAAAATATTCTGCACATTAATGGGCCAATGTGTTATGATGTGAGATGTGGTGGGCTGCTGTGGGCCAGAAAGTCCAGGGCCACTTTTTGGTCCCAGTCCGCCCCTGCCTGAGGGTGAGTGGTTCTGGCATTTCATTTGAATTTGCTGGTTCTGACAGTTGTCACTGCCAATGGGCATGCACTTACCATAGCATGCCGGCGTGGGTATATCGTTTCCCAATGCGTCATTCGACGCAGAAGTTCCCTTTTGAAAGTTATATACGCCCTTATATACTTCCAGGTCGCACATTAATGATTCATGGGCCAATATGATTGCCGTGATTTGATAGTAATATCAGACACCTGTCACGCCTGAGGCGTTCCCCAATGCGCCATTCGACACAGTGTCTTGTTCCCTGTTCTCAGGGAACAAAGGTTACAGTCATAACCTGAGACGTTGCGATTGGTCTACCACTTCAGTGGCCGTTCCCATGTCACGTCTAAAAGTGCGTGGAAAACGCAGGCTGCACTGCTTTCTTCAAAAGCGCCCTCAAGAGCTTGTGCTCCTATGGTGTCTGCTATTGCTAAGCAATCATCAGCCGCTTCTCCATGAAGACGATGAAGTTAAGCAAAGGATAAATGGATTTCCATCCCTTGCAATAGCTCTACTACTAAATATATTTATGGAGATGAACAATAAAAAACCCTCCCTGTAAGCCTACAACTATTATCCGCTGTTCATCCATCTTGGCTGCGCTTTCAATGTTCTTAAGGAAAGGCCAAAGCTGATCAGTTGGTTCTTGTCACATGAGTGAAGTGAAGTGAAGTGTCACTCGACAAGTGAAGTGAGGTGTGCTTGCGGCCTTTTCTTCTGAAAAGAAGAAATCTCGATGCGGTGTTGACACACCTGAAAAAAACGAGCACGACAGGATGGTGTCGTTCTCTTTTTGAGCGAGCTTGTGGGCCAATCTACATTTAATATAATGAACTTGAGCGTGCAAAAGACTCGACAAGTGGATGGCCCCTAAAGCGCTTGTCAGAACCTAAACTTCCATCACCATAACTGAACTTCAGCTCCGGAGTCTTACATTATGAGATGTTGCAACTGTAATTCCTCACCATCAGCATTAACAAGTGAATGTTCATCAACAAACTTGTTTTGATGAGTGGTAGACCAATCAACAAAACAGAGCATGCAGATTCAAATAAACTGGGTACTGACCCATCTTTCTAGAGCAAGCATTTTGCGAATCCCGCATTGCACTCAGAGATTTGAGATGTAGTCGTCAGTAAAATGACGTGTTTGAGGACAGGACAAGTTGTTCGCGGGCAACGTACAACATAGGCGGCATTATACAAATGTCTTATTTAGAGACAAAGAACCGTAACACATGCAGTGGGATTTGGATTACAGACGACTCGTTTAGGTGGTTCAGAATCCATTCTTTCTTTTGGGAGACAATAGCTTTATTTATTGTGCACTTTCGACTTTACAGAACGTTTACATTCACAAACAGCTATACACACTGCATGAAAGGGAATATTCGAAAAACCATAATAGGGGTAACTTTTACAAATGACTTAAAATTTACATAAAAAATAAGTTAAATGCACTTATATTTAGCATATTTTTATTACACACATACTAAAAAATATTTTAAATGTTTAAATATATAATATTTAAAAAATCTATATTCACTTATATTTCATAAAAAAAAAAAAAAAAAATTATTAACTAATTTGTAAATGCTTTTATAGTCATGCGTCAGTTGCGTTTCCTAGAATGCAACAGTGCCCATCAAATAGTTTTTAAGAGCCATTGGTTCCGGAAATATTTTTTCCATTTATTTTTCCCATAGGGATTTTTAAAAAGTATTTGTTAAAGTGTTATAAGCCACGAACCAAACCAACCAGCTATGAGGTGTATCACAAAATCGCACACTTTGCTTTGAAGCAAAAAAGTATTTGAAAATTGGACAAAAAACCCCCAAAGGTACTTAACGGCTTTAATGAGGGAAAGAACTACAATCCCATGAAGCATTGCAAACAACATGTCGAATAAAAAAATTATGGAGAAATATAAAACTATTAGTGTAAAGTTGATTATATTCATAGAAACAATATTTATTGCAAGTTATATATATATATATATATATATATATATGTGTGTGTGTGTGCGCGCGCACACATTTTTAAGTATTTTGAGAGCGTAGAGAAACCGTCTTGATTATGTCATTCACAGTGCTTCATGTGAGAGGGCGTTTCCTGCAAGCTCGTTTGAGGCTATTTGCTTGTCAAATTCAGCTGTTAAACATGATTATTTAAAAAAATTATTTAAAATAATACAGGCTGCCGATTTCAAGAGAAGCATTTACCATAGATTAACCACCTCGTAGCTCACAGTAGCTCTGTCTTTATTTGTCAACCGATTAACTGTAGAAATAGAAAGCAGTATCCAAACCCCTTGTGTCCATCCATTTGTGTATCACTGAGGTGAGGTGGTCTCAGAAAGTGAGAGGTTGCAGAAGAGGAACACACTCTGGTTGGCTGAGAGTTCCTGATTGAGGTTAATCACATGCTACGCCCACACTTGAACCATGAGGGCAAGAGGAAATGCAGCGCCCGACATACCATATCAGAAAATCATGCCTACAGTTTAGATGCTACTTCAAACCATCATGCAAGATATAAAAGGAATGTTCCCTTAATGTCACCACTGAAAAAGGGCACGGCAAATATCTGGTTAAATTGCTGTTGCTCTTAATAAAAATTCTATACAAATAGCATCTTGTGATGCCTTACTTGCATAATGGCTGTGTCTAAAACCTACAACCCCCCCCCCCCCCCCACCAACAAAAAAAAACCCCACTGCATTTGCATGCAATATAGGGGGGCTGGAAGGCATCAAGGCAAATTTGAATCCTAATATATTAAGATGGCTTCATCTGGTTGGTTTTTAAGGGCAGCATTTAGTAGATGCATCCTTCTATGCCTTTCTGCATGCAATTTGACGGTTGGTGGAAAAGGCTGGCTGATGGAGCAGTTTAAAGAAGTACATTATTATTTTTTTTTTTTTTCTTGTTGTCAATGTCTAGATGCATATTAACTGAGAAACACACATTGTAGTCAGTGCAGGGCTCAAAAATAAGGATGGCCGACCTGGGGTCAGTAATGTTATGCCATGGATGCCAATTTAAGAAAATTGCTGTCTTGAAAAACTCTTTTTGAAGATAAGAGTGAAGAGCTGAAGAGCTTTTATTGCCATTTTTTTTCTTAAAGAAAACCTAAAATTTGAAGAAAAGATTTGTATTCGTGAAAAATGTACAATACATAATTTTTTTAAATAAAAATAAAATTATAAATGTAAACATTATACAGGTAAAATTACAAATATAACATTATACAGTACATGTAAATATACAATACCATTCAAAAGGTTGGAGTAACCAAGACATTTTTTTTTTTTTTAAATAGTTAAAAAAGTAATACTATAAAATATTATTATAATTTGAAATAACTGTTGAACAATTGAATGCATCCTTGCTAAATAAAAGTGTTTATTTTAAATCTTACTGACCCCAAACTTTTTAATGGCAATGTATATCTCCTTTTTTTTTTTTGTGCGTGTGAAAATGGTGCTTATGGTGGTTTGGAAGTCTGCATGAAATCACTTCCTTAGGTACTGTCTGTTTAGTCATTGACTGAGTGGGCAATAAGACAGCTGCCTTGTGTTTCAGACACAGCCACATTGTTAACCAGCAAGCAAATTAGGCTTTGTCAGATTATTTGAAAACAGTCTGACTCCAAACTGTTCCCAGACATGTGCGGTGCCTCTTCGTGATGGCTTTCTGGTCTAATCTAAATCTAATATGGTGTGTTAGTTAGTTAGTTAGAGCAGTCAACTTCAGAGTGTGCTGGAAAATCCAGCATCTACTGGTAGATGTGTTTCGAAATGTGGTTTCAACTGGTAGACCATGTTGAAACAAGAAACAAACCCGATACCACCTGGTCTCACCAGCTAGAAACCATCTACCATGTTCTACCAGTCTATGCTGGATTACACCCAGATACATGTCCAGGAATTACCTTCTCCGTCTTCATCCGTCTCGTTGGCTTCAATGGCTTCGATGGTTGCTGGAGGGAGAGATGGGGAGTGTGTTACACCTGAACAAGCCATGCAACAGCAGAAACGCACAGGCAGCTGTTATGCACAAGCAGCGGCAGGCGCCGGGACAAACCTGTGAGACGCATGCACGCCAACCAGACTATGGACCACAGACTCAGACAATACCCTCAACCATTCACACATTTTGCAGGAGGCTTCTCCTGCTTTTGACGCTTGCTGTGCTCTGGACACCCTAGAGGCCTCTCAGAAACTCATTCTCACCCCAGTTTACCAACGACGGGTAAACCGACCCACTAATGTGTCCATGCTTTGGGGGAACTAAAAGAGCAGCATCCCAAAGCCTGGAGTTTGTCAGAGGATACAGAGAGAGACAGATGGAGAGACAGGTGGAAGAGACAGGGACAGACACTATAGAGACAGTAAAGGAGGAAATAAAAAGAAGTGAGACAGAGAGAGAGAGCGAGAGAGAGAGAGAGAGAGAGAGAGAGAGAGTAGGAGATAGAGGAAGACAAGAACCAAGAGAGGAACATGGCCAGTACTGGGTCGTGTTCTCACCACTCTGTAGAGTCTGCTTGCCTCCAGCAAGCACCCCGCTGGGCAGCATGCCGGTAGGGGTCAGGCCCTTCAGGGTCAACACATTCTCACTCTCTTCTCTGCAAAGACAGGATATAACCATTAGAAATAATATCACACACTGATTTTATACTACTGTCCAAAAGTTTGGGGTCAACAAGATTTTTTAATGTTTTTGAAAGAAGTCTTTTATTCTCACCAAGGCTGCATTTATTTGATCAAAAACGCTGTAAAAACAGGATTACTGTAAATGTACAATTTAAAATAACTGTTTTCTATTTCAGTATAATTTAAAATGCAATTCCTGAATTTTCAGTCTATAGTGTAACATGACTCTTCAGAAAACATTCTAATATGCTGATTTGGTTTTCAATGTTGAAAACAGTTGTGCTGCTTAATATTGTTGTGTTTTATTGTGTAATATTTTTGAATTTATTTGAAATAGAAATATTTTGTAACATTATATATGTTCTTTACTGTCAATTTTGATCAATTTAATGCATGAATAAAAGTATTAAAGGTAGGGTAGGCAATTTCAGAGAGGCTATCAATAGCAAGCTAGCTTTGAAAGCATGACATCCCATCCTCCTTTCAGAGCGCTCTCTAAAACCATGCCTCCTTCAAATCACACAGCAGATTCGGCAAAGCATCATGAGAGACGGCGTTAAATTAGCTCATGTCTCATGTCTTACCAAATGAACGTAAACAACTAACAGTGCTCTCACTTGTACCACCTGACTGCTGCAGATTCATTTTGGCATTGATAGTGTTGACACAGAAACACAAATTCGAGTCTAAGGACGTGAACAACTCCGGGTAGAACGTCATTGGTGGCCATCTTGTAATTACGGTTCCGACATGGCGTGAAGGCAGCATAAGCTTGTTGTTTTGGTTCAGGAGGATCTGTAAATACGGCTGCTGTTTGTTTGCAGCACTCGGTGACTCTGCGTAGCCTTACAAAATGCGCTGATGACGTGTGATGTCTGTGCAAGTAGGTGCTTGGAGGAATGGAAATACATTATGCTGACAGGCAGGTAGGACATCCTATCGTTGCATTCGGACCGAATAACAAAAAGTGTTTATGGAAAAAATTGCCTACCCTACCTTTAAGTTCTTTAAAAAAAAAAAAAAAAAAAATCACAGTGAGCCCAAACTTTTGAAAAGTAGTGTACATATAAAATAATTTATCAGTGAACTTTATATTCAGTACATTTCAAAAACCAAGCAGATTAAACCAGGAGTTATTAAACTGGGGTCTGCCAAAAATTTCTGACGAGAAAAAGTTAACATTTACTGAAACTTATATTATTATGCTTTTATTCTGCATTCAGGCTGGACAGAAATCACAATATAAATTGTGATTTAAAAAAAATTATTTTTTTTACAGTAAATAAGAAATACTAAATAAGAAGTACTGTGCCCATATTTTGGTTCAAATATATTCACAATTTAATTATTATCTTTATAAAATCACTTTTACTGTTATTTCTTAGACAGTATAAATGGGTATTTATGAATCAAAATATACAGCTGCCTTTATATTTTAGGAAAGGGGTCTCTCAAAAATACTTACTGACATAATTATCCTCCCCAAACTTGCATTTTTATGTTACAACCACAGATGTCCAAAGAATTCAATACTGAACCTTTAAAATACAACCTTTAAAATAGTTTCTTACATCCCAGTTTTATGTTGCACTGAATATCAGCAATATCTTGCTTTAAAGAAGCCTTTCCTCTATATATCATATATGACAAGCAAGAACGGTTCCATAAGCATGTGACCCAGTTGACCGCAGACTGAATGACTCAGCTGGGGGAAGCCCCATTTGTACCTGAGCACCGAGAACATCTTGGCCATCTTCCCAATGGCACGGATCTTGTTCCTAATCACCTCTTTGCGAGCAGCTGCTGCATTGGCTGTGGGCGGAAAGAAAAACATGAAGCAGTCTCAGTTTGTATGACCAGAGGCTAAAAACCTACATAAACTTTTCTTCTTTTATATACATAAATGTAGACACACAAGAAAGTATGTATTGTGTTGGCGGCAGTTTCAAGAGTAACTAACTTAAAGAAGCGACACCACTAACTAACCTACATGTTTTAGTAGTGTAGCTCAGTTTTTTTCTTAAAATCATGTAGCTTTTAAAGTAACAAGCTGTTTTCCAATGCGTAGAGTGACAAAACACTCACATTGTCACATTGTATATGGTGTAAATTGTTATATATGTGTAACTGTTTTTGAATCAGAGATATACTGCTCTGATTAAAGTAAATAATAATGCTAAAATATTATTAGCTACAAAATAGCTATTTTTTACTGGCTTGTTTCCAACCAGTTTTGACTGTGGTTTAAATTGCTTTAAATTATAAGTAGCTTGTAACTTGAAATGCTTACATTTTAAAGTAGCAATACTTGTTGGAGTTAGTTCCAGTAGCGCCTAGCTAAGTCAAGCACAAAACTTAAGGGCTATTACAAACACGATATCACAATAGTGCTACTGAACAGAAAAGATATTGAAGTGACCATGAGTAATAATTCAGGATGTACCTGACGCCAAAGAAAAGGCCCTCTCTGTCGAGAAATCATAATCATGTTTCATGTGGAATAAATCATGTTTATCTTCTGCATAGGACAGTGAAGCGTACAAGTGAAGAAGATGTCTCACCGTCAAAGATCTCTTCTCCATCATTCATCAGCTCATCATCAGAACAGATGCTCAACACATTTACCAGCATCTCCGTGACTGCAGGCCAAGCAACAGTCAATCACAACATATCAAAATGACATTTAGTTGAAAGTAATCGGACATTAGCAAAAATGTTTTGTTAAGCAAAAAGAATTGTCAAGCCTGTCAATATCCAGTTGTATATACATTTATGTGACAGAGGTACCTTTCTCCCCCACAAATGGCAGTGACCAGGTGAAGACGTCCATGAAATTTGGCAGCCAGTAAGGATGAGGGGAGCAGTTAAACTGCCGGATGTTCATTACATTGTTCTCATACTTCAGAACGGCAGCTGAGGAAGTGAGTAATAAGAAAAAGTGAGCCACCAGCATTTGAGTTTTCTCTAATCAATAATATGAGAAATAATCTCAAGAGACCGTGGCTTCCTGAGCCTCTGGGTTTGTTTCCTAATCAACTAATTCAAGTGGAATCGTTTTTTAAATTGTGTTTCTGGAATGATTCGCTAAAATAGTGTGTACACACAATATGACAAAAAAAACCAAGGTAAACGAGCTTTCTGAGGAAAAATACCAATCAAAAATGGCGTAAATACATCCTGATATACAGTACATCAATTTGTAGGTGGCTGAACATTCATTTTCACAAAAAGCCTCCACTAGATGGTACTGCGGAGAGGTTGACCCTGTTCCATCAGCGGATGATAAGACCACATGGATGGAGTCACTCGAGCTGATGGTTCTGCCCACGCTCTCTGTTCCCATCGCAAAGCTCCATTTTTTCACACATATCTCACTGTAAGGGAAAGCAGGACTCACCTTTGTTATTGTAAACATCAAGGTAGTTTGGTGCAGAGAAGATGGTAATTAGGGAAGGGAATCCAGTAGTCTGACTCTTCCTGTACATCCGGTAGCTGTGAGAAGAGGGAAAGGGAAGATAAAAATGTTTTCATTTACTTGCATAGACAAAATGTGCAAAAACTGTACTTGTATGGAAAGATGTACCATTAAAATGACACCTTTGTACCTTATATACCCCTAAAAGGCGCATATTAGTAAACAAATAATACAGATAAAATAAAGAGCTAAAGACAGGAAATACATACCCTGCATCTTGTGCTTCATGTGCTCGAATGATTGATAACAAGTTATTATTCTGTAGGAAGTCACAGACAGCCGGATAACTGCAACACAGTGATTGAGAAAAGGAAAAGAGAATGAGAGAGAAAATAAGAGCCAACATTCAGAAACTGTGGGTGGACGAGTCTCATTAATGTTGTATTGTTTTTTCAATGCTTTCCACTGTCAGCCAAGCAAAACATTCATGTGTGAATGGAACGAACGCAGTTCCATGTGTGTCCAGCAGGGGCAGTGTGGTGCTCAACTGTTTATCACTCCATATCCATGTTTACAGATATCCTAAGAAAGAAATGCCTTGTTCTTACGTATATGCAATTCAGAGTTCATATATGTTTGGATATACATTAACATTCACACACTTTTGCACTAACAGTCTCAGCAGACCCTGACATGATTTGTGTTTCAATGGCATTTATATTTCAAAGTATTGTGATACTTTATCTCATGAAGCTGTATCAGTATTCTCATGCCAAGAATTTTAGATGGTTTAGTACATTTTTCAAAAGAATATTTGTGGTAAAAAGAAGAAGATTCAGGGCAAGTTTCTGATAAGACAAGCATGATAACATTTCGGTAACACTTTGCAATTTGTTAACATTAGTTAACTACATTAGAAAAATATGTATAAAGCATTTATATTAAACTTTGTAAATAGGCCTATTCATTTCAACATTTGCTAATACATTATTCAGATCAAAGTATCTATTTATCTGTATCTGTTAATAATCTGATACTTAAAAGTATCTGTATCTGTTAATATTGTTTAATGAGCTAACAAACTAACAATGAACAGTCTGCAATGTGTCACAAGATGGCATTAAATTACCTCATGTCTCAAATAACATTACAATAATAATGAACGTAAACAACTTACAGAGCTCTTACAGTACTTGAACCACCTGACTGCTGCAGATTAATTTAGGCGTTGATAGTGTTAGTGTTGATAGATAGAAATGCATAAATCAGACAAATATGTGCATAAAGCATTTAAAAAGGTGTTTACACAACACTGTTTTCAACTAAAAACTGAAAACTTTTTAACAAGACCGTTATCATCTCTGTGTAAACTACAAAACCGTGAACTGGTGAAAACGGTGACGTCATGTGCATGCGCATTTCATGTTCAGTCTATAGGCGCCTAGTGTGTTTCCTTACAAAGTGACATCGTCATCTACTGGACTGGCATGCATAACACCGCTTTTTTAATCGTTTTCGTGGATCCGTGTGAACAGGGAAAAACGTTTCCGTTTTTAGTACATTGTTGTCATGTAAACAACGCAGTCCAGCGCAGATTACATAAATGGCTATAGGCTACACACAAAAAATGTAAAAAATCATAACGCAACCAAGAAATTAGTAATATCCTATAACCTCAGAGCTCTGCTGATTATGCACCTATATTCTAAACCTGTAACATTTTCTTCTGTGGAACAGAAAAGGAGCTGTCAGGCAGAATGTTCACACTGCTCTTTTCTATACAATGAAAATGATCTGCTTTCTGTCTTATAACTCAGAGAGTGTGTAAAAGGGTGTGTGATCTGCTTTCTGTCTTTCTCTCTCGTGTCATCGGCTAATGAGGGGGCACTGCTGCTTTACCACTGCTTTCTACCAATCACTTCTTCCTCTGCATCTCTCTTTCTCTCTCGCTATCACTCGCTCCAGTTTGGGAAGAGGAAACAGGTCGTCATGGCAACACCACACTGCAGAGCCCTTGGGGATTGTGGGATAGATCGCAAAGCTGTGTTGCCGTTGCTGGCCGCAGTGTAGGCCCTTCACTCACTCCCTCCTTCCATCTCACTCTTTCTGCTGACTACAGTACGATCAAGAGGCTGAAAAGGCATCCCCCCTTCTTCTCATCTGATAGCTTCACCCTAGTCTTGCATAGTCTGACATTAGGCTATCAGCATAAAGTCTGGTCCACTTTCAGATTATTCTGTCAATTATTCTGTGTGAGTAGTGCTTCATACTTCGCTAAACTATTGACAACAGACCAGCTACATTTTGTCTTAATTTGACTGCTAATTTGACCTAAAGTGACTGCACCATTACAATGAAAGCCAATTCGTAAAAGTAAAAATACTCACTATTTCAATAGGTACAGGAAGTAAACAATATGCATGTTAACTGAACCAGAAAATATTCTGTGTAAAAAAATAAAAAAATTCTGTGTAATTTACAGTTTTGCTTTTGGATAAAATGTAAAATTAGCTACTAATTGCTTCTTCTATACTCTAAATGTCTTCATTTGTATAGGAACCATATAACCATATACATAGAGCCTGCATTAGCATGAAGGCAATCACATAAACAAATGAAGTGAATGGAGTGAAAGAGTAGTGATTAAACACCAACATGGTGATTCAGGGAGGTGGGCAGCTCGAGGAACACTGACAACACAGATTAAAACAAATGGCTTCTGTGAGCCTTGCATAACAGAAATGTGTGTGGGTTTGTATCTGTCTAAGTAGAGTATGAAGCATTGTGTGTATGTGTAATAAATTCAGTCTTGTGTGTCCTGTAACATGGCTGCCACTGGTATTATGCATATAACACATAGACACACTAATAAATGTAAGGCTACAAATCACTGGCCCAAATTTGGATGAATGGATGTATATAGATAGGACGACTTTCTGTTTGTTTCTCACACACACAAAGCTATTGTATAGCTACAGAAGATGAAATGCTAAAGCTAATGCTAAAGCACAACATCAAAATGCTGAAAAACAAAGACCAATCTTTACTCTCGCTCTATGAGAAACAAACATTCATTCTCACATACACATGCTCACTGCTGTTCCATCAAATTTTCAGCAGTGTGTGAAATATTAAGAGGCTGTTGCTTTATGCATTCAGAGCAGAGGGCAGAAAACAAGAGCAACCCTGAACACCTGGAGAGACCCGACAACCCCCCACCGACTTGGCTGTCCTCATACACACACACTCACATGAATACTGTACACTCAAATATGTGCGCACAATCTGTTACACAAGCATCTACATACACGCTGACACATATATAACATATGCCTATTTACCTACATACAAGGGAAACCGGGGCTAGTTGTCACATAAGCTGTTTCTAAGTAACTATAAGACTTTGAGTGAAAAGTTCAATTGCTTGTTTTCTCAAGCAGTGGTTTGTGTGTTGGTTTTAAACACCTCATTCAAAATCATCTTAAAAAAGAATAATTTTGTCTTCCAAACTAAAATCCTCATATCTTTTTCTATAGGTGTTGTGTAAAAAGGTGAACACAATAACACCTATATAAACAGATTTTTAAAAAATATTTTGAAAATTCATGTAAAAATATAACGTTTGGGTTCAGTAGGATTTCCTTTGAAATAAATGAATACCTTTCTATTCATTATGGATGCATTCAATTAATCAGTATCAGTAAATACATGTATAATGTTAAAAATATTTCAAATAAATTCTCTTCTAGCGAACTTTCTATTCATCAAAGAATCCTGTGATAAAAAAAAAACAAGTATCATTGTTTCCACAAAGATATCAAGCAGCACAACTGTTTTCAACATTGATAATAATACATTTTGTTGTCATATTTTGTATTTGGGCAAGTTGTTTTCTCATATAGTGTGACAACATGTCCACACTCAGGCACATCAAAACACACATCTTTAAAAACACAAAAAAATCACCCACCTGTAAAAGTATGAGCAGCCTCTGACTGTGTTGTGGCTAAAGTACTCTTGGCTCTTTTCATTGCCGAAGTCCTCCAGGGGATCAGACCAAAGCAAATCACACATAGGCCCGAATGCTGGGGGTTCCTTGAACCGGTCCAACTAGGCCACAAAGACACAAATTTAATACAGTAATACAGTAATACACACACATTAACTGCTTTCTTGTGTCCATGCATGAAATCTTTCTCCTCCCACACACAGCGCTGCTGTTCACGCATGGCTTGGCAGTACCTTCTTTATGTCGTCTAAGGTCTGTACTTCTGGGGACAGACCACCGTGGACGCACAGGAACTGTTGGTTCATGAGAGCTGCCAAGGGCAGACAGTCGAACGCATCCATACAGGAATCGTAAACCTGCTCTGAATACTTGATTTTACCTGATACACAGAGAGGGAGAAAGAGAACAAGTGAGTATAAAGGAAGTAATTTTTCTATGTTCAAATACATAGAAAATGAATGAACACAGACAGCCAAGAGGCAATATATATTACTCTGTTTTTCACTTTCCAAAGACATTTTTAGTGCTAGCATAACCAAATGAAGACCAAAGAATATGCATTAGATGTGTAATTGATGCTTTATCTGTGTATTTTTTTTTTCATTCTTGTGCTGCCACAGAGCATGATGGGAAATGTGATTGCACACATCTGTCACCTCATAAACTTGCTGAATGAGTAGAATTCTTTCTTAAGAGTAAAAACTAAATGCTACCATCAGCATTCACAATTCAGCTGGTGTCATGTAGTTAACGATGTGATTGTCAGCAGGTTGCGTTAAGGAACTGCATAAACTTGGTATATCTCTGTTATGATTGGTTATTCTCAGCATAATGGCACTGTTGTTTTCAGGGAGAAGTTGCTGAACTAAATGAGCATATGTAAATATGCTTCATAAATTAATACGTAAGCGTGGGCGGTCATTCTAATAGGGTAAAGATTCTGACATCACAGGCATGCGTTAACATTAAAGTATGTTGACATCAAGCTCTTTCATTTCAAAAGAACAAAAAAATCTTGTTTTCCCACGATATGCCCCCTAAGGCTAAATGAAGGAAAGTAATTTTAAGAAAGATACCAGAGGTGACATGTTTTTTTTTTTTTTACAGTTCTTTTGCCAAAAACAACCCAATATTTGTTGCAAACGACAGCTATTTTGTTATGACAGCACTTATCATGTTTTTCTCTGGCCTCATTAGATTCCTACTGGGACCGAACTTTAATGGTCAGCCCCATGTGTCTCAGTGCGTCACAAACACTCACACACAAGATAAACGGTGTCTCCAGACAGAGAAGGTTTTTTTTCTCTCAGTCTGTCGACGCGTGTCCTATTCTCATTATGTCTCAATACGCCACCTCTCAAAAGCATATGTAACCATGCCGACATGTCAGTGGAGTAGACACAGAAAGAGTTTGCCGTCACCTCTCCCTCCCACCTCACCTGTCTCTGTGCCCTGCCGCTCTGCCTCATGGGAAGGCTCCATTCTGAAGCATTACCTCATACTCCACATCCCACCCCCCTCCACCCCTCCCAACTGCTCTGCATTATAAACCTCATTCACCTTAAATGGAAAGATTTGTCCTTTCAGGAACAATAGACATAGTAGGAAATTGAGGGCTGTGATCTGTTATTCTGATTATTTACTGTGAAATACAGGGATTTGGAAATTCATTCACCCCTTTTAAACTTGTCATTATTCTGAAACATGAATTACAAATCAAATATACAGATAAAGCTAAAACTTTACAATAATGTCTCATTTGTTAATATTAGTTAATGCATTAACATGAGCTAACAATCAGCAATATGTTTTATTTTTACAGCATATATTAACCTTTGTTACTGTTAACTAATGTTAACAAATGCAACTTATTGTAAACATACCTATAAAACATATAAACAATACAATTATTTATTCTAAATAAGAAAATGATATAATTAAAGTATTAAATATAGTAAAACTGCACATTTTATAGTGGCCTTTTATTGTGGCCAGCCTAAGGCACACCTGTGCAATAATCATGCTGTCTAATCAGCATCTTGATATGCCACACCTGTGAGGTGGATGGATTATCTCTCCAAAGGAGAAGTGCTCACTAACACAGATTTAGACAGATTTGTGAACAATATTTGAGAGAAATAGGCCTTTTGTGAACATAGAAAAAGTCTTAGATCTTTGAGTTCAGCTCATGAACAATGGGGGCAAAAACAAAAGTGTTGCGTTTATAATTTTGTTCAGTGTATAATATAAAAATAAATTATATTAAATATATATGCTACCATTCAAAAGTTAAGTATTTTTTAATGTTTTAGAAAGAACTATTTTATGCTCACCAGGGCTACATTTATTTGATCAGAAACACAGTAATACTGAAATATTATTACAATTTAAAATAACTGTTTTCTATTTTAATATTTTTAAAAATGCAATTTATCCCTGTGATGGCAAAGCTTAATTTTCAGAAGCCATTACGCCAGTCTTCAAGTGTCACATTATGAAAACATGTTGAAACAATTATGCTGCTTGCTTAATATTTTTTTCCCGAAACCATGAATTTTTTTATCAGGATTCTTTGATGAATGGAAAGTTCAAAAGAACAGCATTTATATCAAATATAAATCTTTTGTAACATTATTAACATAATAATAACTTTACTATCACTTTTGATCAATTCAATGCATCCTTGCTAAATAAAAGTATTAATTTACTACTGATACTTTTCACTAGTAATTCTTTCGCCATTACAAATGACATAACCAGCACATTAAAACAGCATTGCAAGCACAAAAGGGGAATACTCACATTCTTGTTTGAAGGTGAAATATTCTGTCAAATGTCTACATTCATGATTTCCTCTCAGTAAAAATAGCGTCTTTGGGTAGAGGATTTTCAGTGACCAGAGGTACAGAACACACTACAGAGAAGGACAGAGAAAAAGAGCTGAAACATATGGCCACATCCATCAGATACCTACAAATATCATGCTAATGCAGGCCAGCGCAGGGTCTGTGTAGGGTTAATGATACACTTCCAATTACATTACATATGTTATCACATCTACTGTCAGCCCTCATCACCTTCACTGGCTGCCCGCGGACAAAACCATACATGGGTTTACTTTCCTCCTCTCCCTTTACTGCTAATACAAACACACACACACACACACACTGTTAAACACATCCAGGCTGACTAACTCATGCTGATCTCATGTATTTATGCTTTAACAACAAGGTTAAACAAAGATTTCGCCACCAAAAACATTGGGAGCTGAGTGATTGAATTGAGCAGTCGGTGTTGAGGTGTGTTCGCAGAGCTAATCATGGCCTACAGTCAAAGATGGCAGAAACTGGACATGTCAAAGAACGTGAATGTCAGAGCACAGCGCTCACGGATGACTGATTCCTCTTCTCTGTTTGAAGCTGGAGGAAGATTCCCTGACGTGTGTGACAGAATTGGCCGTTATCAAAGGAACACTCTAGACTTACAGGATAACTGGGATAACTATCAGCCAATAACCATGTCTGCTTGGTCAAAAGAAACTGTGGGTTATACTTTCATGTGAGTTCCAAAACCTACCGACTGCCTTGAAAATGGAAAATGTACATTTTTAGGGGGAATTTTTTAAAATTGTCATATTTTATTTCTTATTATTAATACTTTTTTCAATTTTCACTTTCTACTTCTTTCACTTTTTGTCACATGGTGGAAGCAGTTACAGTGGTGTCTTGCAATTTGGCATGCTATAATCCATCGAAAACAAAAGCTTTTTAATGATTTTATAATTATAATGCTGTTTTAATGAGCATTTATTCATTGATTAAATTAGTTATAATGTTTATTAATTGAAAGACTACATGGAACGTGTCATCAAGTTTACACATTTAAATATTTATTTTATTTATATTTAGAAATGTTTATATATTAATATTTATTACAACATTTAACCTCTGCCAGTTTTCGTAGAATTAGTTTATTAAATATGTTGACTATTTAAATAAAAAGAGTAACTGCACTAGCTGAAAGCATTAACACAATTTCACCAAGTTTAATAAAATGCTGCCGATTTTTCTTAAAAATCAGTACTGCAATGCAAATTCAATCTAGACAAATAAACCTTTTCATTCAAATGAATCAAAATGAACCAATTCTTTCAATTAAAGTGATTAAAAATCCATGGTAAAACTATGAATAGATGTAGGGCTGGACGATATAGCAAAAATATGATCACAATATTATTGTTTTTTCTATGTAAACCTGCACTAGACAGATGTGTTTGACCGTTGCACTCACGTCTTTTGTGGCGTCTCATGCATGGCACAACCTTCTAAAAAGGCACCGCTCAAGTTAAAAGATGTTCAACTTTTTGTTCCACTGACCTTAGTATATCACTTAGCCCGTAGCTTTGTCGCTTTTAACTCTTTCCCCCCATTGACAGAAATTTCTGTCATTTGTGAGAAAACGCTTTCCTGTTTTCACTGTGATACGGTAGGGGGGCGCTGAGTACTGAATCTCCTGATCAAACTTACTTAAGCTGGAATGTGACGCTATTTTCTTCTGGAAACAAACTTTGCAGCATTATTTTCCTGTTATCTCTGTAAAGCTATATAAATAAATGTGACTTGACTTGTAAAATCACGCGATCATCAACATTAAACAGCATATAAATCAAAACTGCCTAATGTTACTGAATGAAATGTCAATCCAGGACGAGGACTGTGCAAGCATTAGGGGTGTTGATGGACTCGATCTACTCCATCTATGCTTTGATCATCGTTCTGAAGCCCATCAGGATGTAGTCTTTGACAAAAGCGCTATTTTCTCAGCTTTTTCCTCAAAATGTTGCTTTTTTTAATGAAAGTTACCAACATTCAACTGTTGATAAAAAAAAGAATGCATGAAGCTAGAATAAAACAGTTGTATGTTTAAAAGCATTCAGACATTCATACAATAAAATATTCTGGGGGCCGTGAAATTTTTTGAGAAAAAGTTAAAAACCGCTGGGGGTGGCTGGCAACTTTTTTAAAAGAGAAAAAGAGAAACCCAAACCGCCTCCGTCCATATAATTGATGTTGCGTTACCCTTTTTTCAACAATTTCCTCAGCTTTGGAGGTTAACACAATTTCGCTTTCGTTTCCCTCACTGGCTCCCTGCAGACTGACTGCCTGTTGTAGCGTTTATTTCTGCTGAGGAGTAATTACTGGTGGGGTAATTCATACTCATATTGGGTGATAATGTCAAGAGCTTATCATCGTTCTCGACATAAATTGTATCTATCGCGATCTCGATATGATATCGTTTATCACCCAGCCCTAAATAGATGGATGCATACTCTTCTCACCTCGATACTGAAGTAACCCCGGTCCACATAGTCGCCCAGGAATAGGTATCGTGTCGTGGCTGGAGAGCCGCCCACCTCAAACAGCTTCATCAGGTCGAAAAACTGCCCATGAATGTCACCGCACACTGCATAAAGGAAAAGAAGGTGGCAGAGAAAGAGAAAGAGAGGAGAAAATATTGACTAGCTGAGCTGGATGCAAACAGACACAACTGTTTGTTTGTTCAATATACAGGATATTCAAATGTTAATCCATGGGGGATTTATACATGTCCCATAGCTACTAAAATCATACTGTAACCATGTAATCCCTTAATGTCAGCATGTAGATTGCTCGAGTCATAATGAACTGATCGAATTGACAGGAGGGCCGTGAACCACCTAAGAGCCTATACATACTGTAGCTGGCCTGAAGATCTTTGTTGCTCCTGTGCAACATAATTCTCTCTCTCTGAGTGTGAGAGAGGGAGAGAGAGAGAAACGCAAACTCCTGTTTCCATGGAGACATGAATTTGATGAGAATAAAGAATGAAATAAATGAGGAGTTTGCGTTGGCATGGAGATGCTGCCCAAGCGTTTGCCCCAGAGGCCTCTCAGCCTGTAGTGTGTGTGGGTGTGGCCACGGACACACACGTTTAAAACCCTTTTAGCTTCTTCGTCACATATCAATAGCTAGATACGAAGCCCACATCGCTGTCATGCGAAGAGAGAGGTCTGTGGAATTATAACCAAGTGTGTCTGTGTTTTGACTCTAGGTTTGTGAGAATTTCAGTCAAACTCCAGCGCTTGAGGAATCTGGGTTTACAGCAAAAGTCCAGATTGTGTGATATGACCTAGTGTAAGTGCGTCACCATGCTCGAGACCTGTGAGAAACTGTGGAGCATGTCACTTCCTGTTTCTCCCACTTAATATACATCATGAAATCGCTTGACAAGCAGTTTTCTTTCCTTGTTAATGTACAAATCTGTTCAAAAGCTTGGGGTCTCTTATGTCTCTTATGCTCATCAGACTGCATTTATTTGATCAAAAATACAGTAACATGGTAATATTGTAAGATTTTCAAATATTCTACTGTTTTCAATTTGAATGTAGCCTATATAATTCATTTCTGTGATGCAAAGTTGAATGTTCAGCATCATTACTCATTACATTTAAATGCCATGTGACATGATCCTTCAGAAATCATTCTAATATGCTGATTTGCTGCTCAAGAAACATTTCTTATTATTATCAATGCTGAAAAAAACATAAATATTTTTGATACATTTTTTACAAGATTCTTTGATGAATAGAAAGTTCAAAAGAGCAGCATTTATTTGAAATAAATCTTTTTTTCTTTACTGTCAATTTTAATCAATTTAATACATCACAGCTGAATAAATGTAATCATTTTATAAAAAACAAAAAAAAAACAGATTGACACCAAACTTTTGAACAATAGAGTATGTCCTATTGGAACAGGAAGGCAATACATACAACAGGGATGTGCAAAACTACATATGTTCAAAATCGACCAGTCAGTGGGTTGCCTGAACGACTAGTTGACTAATCAGTCTTCAGGGAGCCCTGTACAACAGGCTGGTTCTAGACACGTTCATATTCAACTTGCTTTCCTAGAACAGAGATACTGTCAGCATGAAACAGAAATTGCAATCGCCTTTTGTTTTCTAACTTGTCTTACATCTGAATGAAATTACTTCTCGAAAGAGAATCGGTTGGATTGTTGTCGTCTGCTAATTGCAGCGATCTCGTGTGAGTGAAATGTTGTTGGAAGCAACAGAAAAGTTAATGATTTTGTTTAAAACGGCACGACACTTGAATTTTTAACAAATAATGATGTGAAGGATAAATCATTTAAAATAAACATTGCAATATTCCAATAGATAAAAGAAGAATGATCAAATTTGATTTTGAGGTGACTTTAAAGGGATAGTTCACCCATCATCACTTACTCACCCTCAAGTTGTTCCAAACCTGTATGAATGTTGAACACAAAAGAAGATATTTTGAAGAATGTCCGTAACCAGACAGTTGACGTTAGCCATTTACTTCCGTAGTATTCTTTTTTTTCCTACTATGGAAGTCAAGCTACCATCAACATTCTTTAAAATATCTTCTTTTGTGTTCAACATTCATACAGGTTTGGAACAACTTGAGGGTGAGTATGACAACATTTTCATTTTTGGGTGAACTATCCCTTTAAATGTTCATCATTTAGGAGTACACTAGCATACACAAAGCTCACAGATAAACTTTAATTTTGATTTCATGGGTATTTTAATCAACTCTGCAGGCCTTCATCTACTCTCACTAATGTTTCCTTTCTGAACACACAAGCATTCATGTTTCAAGCTTAATAAATATAGACTATCTCCTTTTCTTAAAATGCTAAATCACAAGCATTCTGTCAGGCTCTACCCAAACAGCTCCTTTACTTCCAGATCAATGCCCAAATCAATAGATCCATTCTCCAACCAAACCACTTATTTAGCCTTAAATGTCTCGGGGGAAGCAGCTTAAATTAAGATTCCTCATGTCAAATGAATTAGCGGACTTATCTGTCCTAAATCACACAGCAGCCGCAAGCAGTCCACCGAGTCTGACATACATCCAAAATGGGCCATTAACATGAACCATTAACACACACTATAGAGCAAAAGCCCTAGAAGTAATCACGCACCGCAGAGTAGTCAGGAAAAACGAAAGCCTCTAGAGGAAATGATGTGGAGAACGGCTAAAGGGACCATTTTCTCGAGGGCCGGGGTTACAGGGGCTGCAGTTAGCGCTGTTTCTCTCACTTTTTTTCTCTCTCCCGGAGCAGGACTGAATGACAGGGAGGTGACAAGTTGAACTCTCTCGCTTATCTGTGCTCGCTCGCTCCTCCACCAACTGGTAAAGAGATTCTTCCGCCCCCTTGTATTCAGCTGTTCCCGCTCCAGCCTTCTCACGCTGTGCTTATTTCCCTTCTCTCACCCTGCCTCCTCTACTGCACCCAAGCCATCGATTAAAAACACAGATGCATTGTGGGACACCATCTGATTTCACCTCAAATGAGGCTCGAGATCTAGAAAAGATGTTACAAATCGAGTCATTAAAAACACATTCATTTCATCCACACTGCTTTTGTTATGCGTGTGTTAGACGGGTCTCAGAGGAGTTTAGGGTTCACCATGTATCCCCAGGTGGGCTCTCTCCCCACCCTGGGCGCCTGGTTTTCTCTTGGCGACTTCAAACCTGCTCGTGTGGCAGAGCTCTGCCGCTGTCTGAAATTCCTGTTGTTTAAGTCTTTGTAGATATGGATACTAGGGTTATATAATCCAAATGGGGGGGCGGGGTGGGAAATGCAGATATGCCCAGTCACGTTGCAGCATCAGAGCTGCATAATGCATAGCCAAATCAGATGCGCCCGGGCTGTGTTAGTAAGTGGCGTTTACTGTATACAAATGAGCGGATCCTGCATATTGAGACATTACATTATGCATGAAGAGGTATATGAATTGTGCATGGAAATGATCCCGGGTCCCGGTGTTAAGTGCTTCTGTTTAAACGAATGGGCTGGTTCACGGAGCTGATTTTAACTGTGCTCCGGGAGAAACAGGTATTAAATGTGGAATTAACATGCTTGTTCACATTCCCGTGTGGGTCACATGCCACCCGAGCACACGAGGAGGAGAATGTAGATGGAATCCCATGAGTGTCACAGTGACTCTGTCATGATCTTTCTCTCTGTGCTCCTCCTTTACTCCTGATATCTGTTCATCTCCTCTTTTCTCCTCTCATGCTTTCATTCATGTTCATTTTCTTTCTTCTTTTCTCTAATCTTCTTTCATCTGCTCCTCTTCTGTCCTCTATTCACCTCCTCTCCTCTGTTCTTCTTCCTCTCCTCTCACTGTCCATCTCCTCTTTTCTCCTCTCATCTGCTCCTTGTGTCTCATCTGTTCATCTCCTTTCCTCCCTTAATTTGTTCGACTGCTCTCATCTTTCCTCTCTCCTTTCTCACCATCTGTTCATTTCCCTTCTTCTTTTCTCATCTCTCCTCTCATTCAGAATCTCTTTTTTTCTCCTCTTCTCCTCCTCTACTGTAATCTGCTTATCTCACTTCCATTCCATCTCCCATCTCGAATCATCATCTCATGTGTTCATCTCCTCCTTTCTCTCCTTTCTTTTTATTTTGTAACCCCTCCTCTCCTGGAGATGAACAGGATCACATCTATTCACCCCCCTTTCTTTCACCACTTCTCCACGTACCTCTATTCATCTCCTTTCCTTTGTTCCTCTCTCTCTCCTCTCAGTTCCTCTCTTTTTTCCTCCTCTTATCTGCTCCTTGTGTCTCATATGTTCATCTCCTTTCATTTGTTCGACTCCTCTCATCTTTCTCCTTTCATCCACTCCTATTTTCTCCTCTCTCATATCCTCTCATCTGACCATTTCCTCTATTTGTTCTCCTTCTGTCATTTCTTCATCTCCCTTCCTATCTCTTTTCCCCGATTATCTTATCTGCTTCTTTCCTTTCCTCTGTAATCTTATTCTCCCATCTTTTCCTATTCACTCTCATCTTCACCTCTTATACTTCCCTCTCCTCCTTTCTCATTTTTATCTCTTCTTTCATCTACTTGTCCTCCCATATGTTAATTCCCTTCTCCACTCATTATCGCCTCTCATCTGCTCTTCTCCTCCTTCCCTCGCTCCTCTTCAGTCATCTGCCCATCTCCTCTTCCTTCCATCATACCATGTTCATCTCCATCCTTTCCTCCCTGTTCTTCTCATCTGCTACTCTTTTTCTCCAATCTGTTCCTCTCCTTTCTTTATACCATCTCCTTTCAGTTCATTTCCTCCCCACCTCTCCTCTCGTCTGTTCGTCTCTTCTCTCATCTACCCTCTCACCTGCTCCTCTTATTCTACCATATGTTCATCTCCTCTTCTCTTTCCTCCTCTCTGCATATCTCCTCTCCTCTCTCTCCTATTCATATCCTCTCTTCTCCTCCTCATCCTCTGCTCTCCATTATGTAAGCTGGACTTAATGAGCGAGCAGCACGCAGCACAAATCATTCTCAACATAAACGAATGGGCCTGAACCAGTACTCTGTGCGTGTGTGTGTGTGTGTGTGCATCTGTGTGATTGTGTAAGCAGTCTTGATTAACAATAGCATGAGGTGATGGCCATACAGCTGGGTGAAGGTAGTGACAAACGGCAGCAGATATGTCTTTGTTTGCCATTATGTTGCATCACAAAGGAAGCGGATCTACTGACAATGACGGTTTCTCGCGTACACTGTGCCTCCTGCATATTTCATATCCCTTTGATATTAATAATAGACAATCGGCAGGCATAAACTTCACTTGGCCTAATTTTGGCTGATCTGGGCAAATATTCTGAGCTCAGGGACAGACATCACACAATCAAGCATGCACGCACACACACACACACACACACACACACAGAAAACTCTAAATGGTGATAATTGTAAGTATCTCTCTTTATGTGTGGCAGTGACTGTGCAGTGCTGTGTGTGAGTGTGTGTGTGTGTGTGTGTGGGGGGGGGTGCTTATTCTCACATCACCCACTGCAGGCACACAGGGTGCAAGCAGAACTGGATGATGGGAAGAGATTTAGAGAAAGAAAGAGAATATTGAGCTGTTAGATGCAGATGACTCAGAGGTGTAGGTGTGTTCTGCAGCAGAGAACCACTCTCTCTCTCTCTTTAACTCTCTCACTCGCTCTGTAGGTCGCTCTGATCAACTGATGGATTTTAACAGCTGCACTGTACCAGACAAATCTAAGTGCACCGTGGAATTGAACTCTTCCTGTGAGACTGCGACTGAACCGGAGTGAACTCAAATGCTTTGTGCCTTTAAACACATCAGTGAGCGACTCCTGATGCACCGAAGCTTGTGACCGTGTGACTTTTTCAGCTGCCAAAAAACAGCCTTTGTTGCAGGGATTTTAACACAAGTTGTCTGAATATTACAGCCCTCCCACACTGCAAAACAATAGTTTTTTAATCAGTATTTTTTTGTCTTGTTTTCCAAAATCTTAAAAAAATACATTTATTGTTTTAATTAAAATATATAAATTATAATAATATATATATATATATAAATTAATTTCTTTATTACCCCATTTGCAAACATTAGGAATAAATCTGACAAAATTAAGTGAGATTTAAGCTTAAAACAAGAGAATAAATATATGCCAACAGGATAAGAAAATAATACATTTAATTCCCCATATATTCTTTGAAACAAAACATTAGTAACTTTAAAATATTGCTTCTTTGTCTTTTGTCCTGTGTAAATTGCAACGTCGCTCCTAGCAGATATAAAAAAATAAATAAACAAAAAAGGCACTAAAACAGCATTAAAAAATACTGCAATTTCACCAGTGTGAAGGAGATTTGGGTAAGCAGAATCACATTACAAAGAAAAATTAATCAAGCTATGTCCATTATCTCTGCGTATTTTTATTTATTTATTTATTTGGTGCAGTTACACAAGGACCTATTTCTTTCAGGAGTAAGCGGCTCATACGCGGATGAGACAGCGGAAATCACGGCCAGCTGGTGTGCTGACACACTCCTGCAGATGGACGCGGGTATCAAGTACTCAACTCTATTGATTATCCACAGACACTGGGAAAAGCGGAAAAGCGCTTCACATTAAGAGACGCACAGCTCAGACGAGGCATTGAATAGATACAGACAAGCTTTATGTGGTACGTACGTACATTACCCTAGTTTCAAATTAAAACTATTTTCCCTCTATTCTCACCTCATAGTTGATGCGATGACAGGTAAGGAGGGAATTAAAATACCTGAGAAACGCACACATACACACATTCACGAGCATATAAAGTGATCAAACTTTATAGTGACAGCTCCCTTCACAGGTAAACTTCATACGGAAACACCTTAAGCGCTTGTTCGCTTTGCCGCCATTTGGGTTTTTTTTTTCTCCGCTCTTGTTCATTCTTTGAACTTCCAGTCAGGTGCTTTGGAGTTTATTTTTGTATTTGAGGTCAGGATTGTGCATTCTCTCTCAAACTCTTTAGTCCTGTTTGCTGACGGTATCAAGGCAGGTTGTCACTGATATACAGTTAACACATGCAGACGGCGTCAGATAACAAACTGCATTATGTACACACAGATGCTAATGCACAGACGCTCTTTATCGACTAATGTCTGAAAATATATCCACCCTGCTGCAAAACACTGCACACATAGTCCCTTAAAGACACGTCAAATGAAACCATAGCACTTTGTAGCAAACATTACCCTTTAAATTGTACATGAGGTGAATCTGCCACAATAGACCAAAAGAAGCAGGAAGTACCTGTGACAGGTGCCTCTATGTCCAGCATGGTCTTTTCTTGGCGTAAGATGGAGGCCCCTTCGTTTATGATTCGGAGGGCCACGTTCTCTTCCACCCTGCCTTCTTTAGTGAGGTGGGCTTTCAGTAGATCCACCCTTGGTTTCCCCTCACAGTCAAACACCTCCTTCGTGGTGAGGCGGTGACTCAGGGGGAAGGGGACGGCTGAGGGGAGCACAAACAGAAAGAATACATCAGAACTTGAATGTTACAGTCACCTTTAATAATGACTCAGTTATGTTGCACAAAAGCATAACTTTTCACTGGGGATATATTTTGTAACTAACTAACTACATCTTGTTATAATTTAAATACTTTCTGAGACCATACCAGCTGTTTATTGAATACAGGTTTAAGGATTTGTTTGTTAAATCAAAATGGCTGCCCAAAAACATCAGTGGTATGCAAAACTAAACTACACTTAAAGTCCCCCTGTAGTCAATATTTGTATCCCTTAAAACTCATCTTTGATCACCAAAATGACATATTTCAAAGTTTTTTTCCTTGAAAAAAAATCTTCATGCCTTAAAATAGCTTGAGTGTAACTCTACACCCTTGCCTCATTTAGTAGGCTATACACTACACGGTTCTATTAATATGCAAATTAGCTCCGCCCCCACTCAATCACACGTTGACGTGATTGGTTACAAGGTAGTTTGTGACGTCAGAAACAACAGCGATTTCAAACCACATTTTTGATTCACTGCAGTTTTATGGGAAAAAATACTTAGCAATTGTGTTGACTTGTGAATTTGTAAAGCATATTAAAAACACCACATAGACATATAAATAACAACATTAAAAACTATTCTATTTTCACCACAGGGGGACTTTAAAAAGTTTGGGGTTGGTATTTTTTTTAAAGAAGTTTATTATGCTCACCAAGGCATTCATTATATATAGTCAGTATAAAAAATATAAATATATATAAAAAAAAAACAGCACTATTGTGAAATATAAAAAATATTATAATACATTTTCAAATGTAATTTATTCCTGTGATGATAAAGCTGAATTTTCAGCAGCCTTTACTCCAGTCTTCTTCAGCAGTGTTAAAATATTATCATGGAGATGCAAATATAGTTTTTTTAATTAATATTTTTAATTCATTTTTATTTTTATATGTTCCATATTTCTTTTAATTTTAGTTAAAGTTTTAGTCATTTTGTCCTGTGTTTTTGTCACTTTTATTAGTTTGCTTTATATGTCTATATAGTTTTCATAATTATTTTTAAAGATTTTGTTATTTTAGTACATCGAGTTAAACTAAATCAAAATGAGATTTTTTTTGGAAACTAGCCTTGAAAAATATTTTAAAATGATATATAATTTCAAATTATATTACATTTTGTTATTTCAAGTAACGAAAATGTTCATGGTTTTAGTTTTAGTTAACTATAATAACCATAAACCTGGTCTTCAGTGTCACATGATTATGCAGAAATCATTCTAATATGCTGATTTGCTGCTGAAGAAACATTTATTATCTATCAATGTTGAAAACAGTTGTGCTGCTTCATGGAAACTGTGACACTTTTTCAGGATTCTTTGACGAACAGAAAGTTCAAAAGAACAGCATTTATCTGAAATAGAAATCTTTTGTAACTATAAAATTCTTTACTGTCACTTTTGATCAATTTAATGCATCCTTGCTGAATAAAAGTATTCATTTCATCAAAAAAAATCTTACTGACCGTATTTTGAACAATAATGTACATATTTCCCAAAGGCAACTACTTAGTGGCTTGCCTAAAAGGCTATTTGATCCCAATAAGACGCGTTTCTTAGAGGATGTTCACCAACAGCTGGATAGAGTGAAGTTAACATGCTAAATAAAGCACCACCACTAAAAAAACCCAACTATAACATATCAAATAACTAGTTATTTCAAATGTATAGTTATTAGTTTTATATCAAATAACTAGACCTCACTTTTGCTCTCTGTCAACTAAACTCCTCACAAAACTGTTTTTCTTTAACCGTGGCTGCCTACCATCATCATTTGTTCATTGAGCTCAGCTCACTTACAGCAAAGCAAAGCCTCATATCACAAAAACAAAGCCGGAACTGCTATGAGTTAGTTGACTGACAAGCTGCTTATTAAAGCTTCCAAAGAGCTGGATGTGAATAATTGATAAAGGTGCAGCGAACGACGTACCGATCCTCAGCTGCGTGAAAATTCAATTCAGAAATTAGACAGAGAAAACAATATCTGCACCAAAAATTGGGGCAAATGCCGTTTCTTTCCGTTATGAGTCACTATAATGTGTACACTGATAATGTGGGACTTGGCTTCAACAAAACATTGGCATGGTGAATTATTTACGTGCACGCTAGCGAAGATTCGCCCGCACTGTACAGAAATAATTATGGAGTGTAGTTACAGTGCCATTGAGAAGAAATGCTAAACATTGTTCAGATACAAGATGACATAGTCTCTCAGTAAGACTTCTGAGATATGGGCAATTCTGTAAGCAAAACATGCATCTTGTATTGCTGAGTAGAGGCTAGCAACATCATACACAGCTCAGAGAGAGAGAGATACAGTAGGGGAACTGGGGAGGGAAGCTCAGGGCAGAGACTCAACGTGATCAACACAAAGCTAAATAATTCATGTTTGACTTGAGGGGGAAAAAAGAGAAATCTCATGTTTCTGCTGCTGGGATAATGAGACTAGGCCTAGCATAGGATTTAAACAGCGGTAAGGAAACAGCTCATTTGAAAAAGTGAGTGTGTGGGTGCACTTGTGTTACTTCTGCACATGTTTGGTTTCCTTGGTCCTCTGTTTGTTAACAAATCTTAAGACGTGGTCAAATTTAAATAGCCTACATTTTCGAGGAGAAGAAAGGTTCATTGTCTATTAATAGTATAGCGATGTAATAAGCACGCCACGGCTCACACAAAGAAGTCAAACCAATCAGCTTTCTATTGGTCAACATGACAAATCTGGGTGACCAACTAGAACCAGCAGCCAAATCTGCATGGGGAAATATTTTACCGTCACACAAAATTCCCAATTGCATGGATTTTGGTGGTTACTGGATTTTGCTTGTGAAAACTTGCAGAACAATGATGAATGTGAACACAACTTAATGTTTCATATGTCAGCTATAATGCAAGATATCTGTACAAGACATTAAGGAACTCCATTAATACGTTCTGCTAGCAAGATAGCCTTTAGCATGTAAAGCATAAACACATTTTGGGGTAGCTATCACTCATGGAAAGCACCAGCGGCAATGTTCACACAGATATTCTGCGCCTCGCTGCTATCCACTCCATTGACAACAAATATATGGATATTCATTTTAAATGCACTGACGTACAACTCAACTCAACTCAAATGTACAAAGTTTCTCAACGCAACTTACAAGGATTGAAATTGTTTCAATTATTTTCAAACATTTGCAATAGTAATGTTTCGGTTTACATTTCAGTTTTGACTTGGACATGAACAAATACTTGATCTCCAGATCAATAACTCACATTAACATTGCCAGAAAAGTGAATGATTATGTTCAATTATTTCTACATAAGGTAATTGATATTCATGAGTTAAGCCACCACCATTTCATGAAATCCTGCTTGCTGCAGTCCATTTAAAATTTGAATGAATGAATGATTCAATGACTTCAATGACAATGAGAATAAATACTTTACTTGTTTCATTACTGGACGAATCAGCGTTTTTTGAACAAATCTCTTGCATGAATGATTTAATAACAAATACATTTTTAACAGTTACTTGTCGTTACCTGGTGGCGTAATAATGTAATCGAGGCAATCGTTTTTTTAAAAAGCGCCATATTACTCTCTAAAGGTGATTTACTGTATTTTAATTGCTTCTGTAGACATCAGTGTTTATATCCAAACTATAAACTTTTATCCAGGTTCTGTTTAGGAAAGAGATTGTGTGGGTGTTTGAATCGAGATTGCGATCTTTTAATGATTAATCGTCCGCATACAGAATAGCATGGACAGATACTCATTTCTGAAACTCTTTACTTCATTAATGTTAATGCTATCCAGTTTATCATGAGCTATAACATTTTTTTTGGTTTGTTATTGATTTAGTGGGTCTTTAGCCTTTTTGATGAGTTTTGGGGGTTTCATAAGACAAAACACAAATTAGAAAGCACTTGTCTAGGAGACACAATGGAGAGTGAAATATTTAAGGTTTTTTTTCTCAGTTTGAAGAAGCAAATTTGTGTGAAGTGACAGCATTTTAACAAATCGTTTGGCTCCTTTCTGACTCAGTGTGAGAGTCCACCAAAAGACGTCACGGCACAGTCAGACGGAGTGAGTGAGAGAAAGACAGAGCGAGAGAGAAAGACACACAACGCAGAAGCATCATCTGAACATAATGCCTCTTCCACAAGAACATAATGTCCCTATTTGTCCCCATCTTCGCCTTCTCCCAATACTCTAGAGGGCTGAGATGCACTCTCACAGCATCCTGAAAGACAGAAAGATGACAAGGTAGACAGGCAGTTTGTGTAAATATGAACAATAATGAGATGGTCCAGAGCACAACGTGTAGCCTATCGGAGTGAGAAGAAACTTAATAGGAAGAATAGACAAGAGAGAAACAGGAGAATGTGTGAAATGCCTAATGAACAGCAGTCTCCGTAGGGAGGAATGGAGAGCAAAATGAATAGAGAGAGAAAGAGAGTGGTTCAAGGGTGAGATGGAAAACAGCAGCGTAGCTCTTCACTTCACAAGATGTTGGACTGTGGTGCATGTTGCCGAGCAACAGCCGGTGACTACTGAAGTGTGGCCGGTTCAGACAGTATACACTGTGATTTGGGACTAAATCTCCAATGTGCAGGTCTGCAGGAGCTCTTTTCTTCTCTATGCACACCATAAACACACCAAAGTATTCCATTCTGGAGCTAATAAACAATAAATCACTGTGCTCTATGGCAAAAAAAGAAAGAACAAAAAAAAAGGCATCCTGCTCTTTGTCACGATTCCCTGTGTCTCTGTTTCATGGACTCTTATTTTGATATTCTGTTGTCTTGCTGTGCCTGTGTTCTCTTCCTGTGGTTTAGTTCATTCCTTTTTTCTATTGCCATCTTGTTAGTTTCCATAGCAACCCTTCTTTGTTACCATTATAGCTAATCACCTGTCCTTCATTTAGCCCCTTGTCATCTTGTGTATTTATA